CCTCTTGCTGACTTTGGGCCTCATTTGTTCTTCTTTTTCCAGTTTTAATAATTGTGGCTTTAGACTATTCATTTGGGATTGTTCTTCCTTCTTTAATTAGGCCTGGATAGCTATATACTTTCCTCTTCAAGCTGCCTTCACTGCATCCCACAGAAGTTGGGGCATTGTGCTGTTGTTGTCATTTGTCTCCATATATTGCTTGGTCTCTGTTTTAATTTGGTCATTGATTCATTGGTTATTTAGGAGCATGCTGTTAAGCCTCCATGTGTTTGTGAGCCTTTTTGTTTTCTTTGTACAATTTATTTCTAGTTTTATACCTTTGTGATCTGAGAAGTTGGTTAGTACAATTTCAATGTTTTTTAATTTACTGAGGCTCTTTTTGTGGCCTAGTATGTGATCTATTCTAGAAAATGTACCATATGCACTTGAGAAGAATGTGTATCCTGCTGCTTTTGGGTGTAGAGTTCTGTAGATGTCCGTTAGGTCCATGTGTTCCAGTGTGTTGTTCAGTGCCTCTGTATCCTTACTTATTTTCTGTCCAGTTGATCTGTCCTTTGGAGTGAATGGTGTGTTGAATCCTCCTAAAATGAATGCATTGCATTCTTCTCCTCCTTTCATTCTCTTAGTATTTGTATCACATATGTTGGTGTTCCCATGTTGGGTGCACAGATATTTATAGTGGTTATATCCTCTTGTTGGACTGACCCCTTTATCATTATGTAATGTCCTTCTTTATCTCCTGTTACTTTGTTTGTTTTGAGGTCTATTTTGAATGATACAAGTACTTCAACACCTGCTTTTTTCTCCCTATTGTTTGCATGAAATATCTTTTTCTATCCCTTCACTTTTAGTCTGTGTATGTCTTTGGGTTTGAGGTAAGTCTCTTGTAAGCAACATATAGATGGGTCTTGCTTTTTTATCCATTCTATTACTCTGTGTCTTTTGATTGTGCATTCATTCCATTTATATTTATGGTGATTATTGATAGATATGTACTTATTGCCATTGCAGGCTTTGGATTCGTGGTTACCAAATATTCAAAGGTAGCTTCTTTACTATCTAACCATCTAACTTAACTCCCTTATTTATAGACACAGTCTGATGATTCTTTATTTCTCTCCCTTCTTATTCTTCCTCCTCTACTCTTTATATGTTAGGTGTTTTATTTTGTACTCTTTTATGTTTCCTTTGACTACTTTTGTGGATACTTGGTTTTATTTTTTGCCTTCAGTTAGTATTTGGTTGGTCTGCTTTCTTTGCTGTCATTTTATTTTCTCTGGTGACATCTATTTAGCCTTACGAGTGCTTCCTTCTACAACAGTCACTTTAAATTATCCTGTAGAGGTGCTTTGTGGGAGACAAATTCCCACAACTTTTGCTTGTCTGGGTATTGTTTAATCCCTCCTTCAAATTTAAGTGATATCCATGCTGGATACAGTATTCTTGGTTCAAGGCCTTTCTGTTTCATTGCATTAAATATATCATGTCCTTCTCTTCTGGCCTGTAGGGTTTTTGTTGAGAAGTCTGATGATAGCCTGATGGGTTTTCCTTTGTAGGTGATCTTTTTTCTATGTCTGGCTGCCTTTAATACTCTGTCCTTGTCTTTGATCTTTGCCATTTTAATTATTATTGTCTTGGTGTTATCCTCCTTGGGTCCCTTGTGTTGGGAGATATGTGGGCTTCCATAGTTTGAGAGACTACTTCCTTTCCCAGCTTCAGGAAGTGTTTAGCAATTATTTCTTCAAAGACACTTTCTATCCCTTTTTCTCTCTTCTTCTTCTTATGGTAGCCCTGCAATGTGAGCATTGTTCCGTTTGGATTGGTCACACGGTTCTCTTAATATTCTTTCATTCCTGGAGATCCTTTTATCTCTATGCCTCAGCTTCTCTGTATTCCTGTTCTCTGATTTCTATTCCATTAACAGTCTTTTGCGCCTCATCCAGTCTGCTCTTAAAACCTTCTATTGATGGTTTCATTTCTGTTATCTCTTTCTAGCCTTCATCCCTTAGCTCTTGCATATTTCTCTGCAGGTCCATCAGCATGGTTATGACTTTTGTTTTAAATTCTTTTTCAGGAACATTGGTATGTCTATCTCACTGAGCCCTCTCTCTGGGGTTGTCTGAGTGATTTTTGATTGGACCAGATTCTTCTGCCTTTTCATGATTGTAGAAGTCATTGCACGCAGGTGGTGTGTGTGTCAGCTGGGAGAACAAAGTCCCTTCCTGCTTGCTGGTCGCCTTGCCCTTCTCTGCTGCCTGTGTCTGTTTCCTGCACACCAGGAGCAGTCTTTGGGATAATCTCCTGAGCTGCCATGTGCGGGGCAGCCCTCAGGATAGCCTAGGGCACTGCGTGGGGTCCCACACGTGCCGGGTGTGTTCTCCTGTGAGAACAGCACCCCTTCATGCCTTCTGGACCTTGATCCTGCTTCTGCTGCCTGTGCCAGTTACCCGCACACTGGAAGCAGTCTCTAGAATAATCTGCTCAGTTGCCGCGGGTGGGGCAGCCCCCAGATAGCCTAGGGCACTGCAGGGAGTGGCAGATGCACCGGGTATGTTCTCCTGTGAGAACGGCACTCCTTCGTGCCTTCTGGACGTTGCTCTGGCTTTCTCTGCCTGTCCCGGTTAGCTGCATGCTGGGAGGAGACTCTGTGTGGTTGCTGTGGGCCAGGCTGTTATCTGGCTGCTCCTCAGCTGTGGTGGGTCAGCTGGTTTGCTTGTAGCACCGGCCAGGGGGAATGAATGGCAGGCTGCTTATCACCATGAGGGGCCTTGGGGCTGCATTACCCCCCCCAGGGGGTTAGGTGGCCTGAAGTTCCTTAAGATTCCCAGCCTGCTGGGCTGAGTGTGCCAGGATGATTTTGTCCATCTGTTAAGCCCATGTCCCTTTAAGACTTTTAAAAAGCACCCACTTTTCTTCTGTCCCAGGGTACCCAGCTGTGGGGACCCACTTGCAGTCTTCATCTTGGATGTTACTTTGCAAGTATACCATGCAATGTGTGTCTGTGCTTCCGGTGCAGATTACTAGGATGGTTATTTAGCAGTTCTGTGCTTCCACTCCCTCCCAACTCTGATTCTTTTCCTCCCACCACTGATCTGGTGTAGGGGGAGTGCTCAGGTCCTGCCAGGTCATGGCTTTGTATCTTACCCTTTTCATGAGATTCTGAGTTCTCACAGATGTAGATGTAGCCTGGCTGTTGTACTGTATCTTCTGGTCTCTCTTTTCAGAATAGTTGTATTTGTTGTATTTTAAAAAATACATATGGTTTTGGAAGGGGATTTCAACCATCCTACTCACACCGCCTTCTTGAGCCCTCTGGTCGTATGTATTCCTTTATCCAGCTGTTAACTTGTATCCTTTGTTAAACTGGTAAATGTTAAGTGTTTTCCCTAGTAATATGAGCTACTCTTGCAAATTAATTGAACCTAACAGGGAGGTCACTGGAACGGAACCTCCAATATGTAGTAGTTAGATCAGCACAGGTTAACTGCCTAGGGCTTGCAATTGCCATCTGGATTGGGGGGTGGCGGGCAGTCTTATAGAATGGACCCCTTAACTTGGGTAATCTGGTGCTGCCTCCAAGGGCAGATGTTATCAGAATTGAGTTGAGTTCCTGGATGCCCTGCTGATGTCGAGAATCGCTTGATGTCATATGTGGGAAGACCCCCTCTTACACATACATACACACACACAAACATGCATGTGCACACACACTGCATTGGGTCTGAGAACCCAAAAGAAGTTTCTGAGGGAACTCAGAAGTACAGCACAAAGGTCCCAGGGAGCATTAGCTAGGCACAGCATAATGAAGAAGGAACCATTAAGAATGGTGGTTTCAGGCACCCACAAAAACGAGTCCCAAACATGGGAAGATGCACCTCAGTTTTTGCTCCCCCACTGCATGTGCCTGCCACCTGGCACCTCCGTTGGGCCCCATTCTTTCTCACCTGACATCACCACAAGCCTAGTTTCATGCACGTACTTTTCTGTTTTTGTGATTCTGAGATTGAAATCCCCTAAAAGAACCCCACCTTACCAAATCAACTGAAAATTTACTATTCAAGGGGCACAGAAGGGACTTAGTAAGTGAAAGCCTAAGTACTGGAAAACATTGATATAAAATGTGTACCAAGCCATTTTGATATTTCAAAATGTGCCTTGCTCCAGATCCCCATGTAGAATGGCTTCTGCTCTAAGCTACATACAGTAAGATATGATGTAACATGGGGAGCAGACCTTGGTGCCTGGTTGCCTACATTCAAATCTGGCCCTACCCCTTACTAACAGGATAACCTTAGGTAGCCGCTTCACCTTACTTTTTTCTCCTGTAAAACAGCTATAATACAATTACCTACTTCATAAGCTACATGAAGCACTTGGAATAGTGCCTGGCTTATACAAAACACTTAATATTATTAGCTTTTATTACTATGATTATTGTAACGACCTGATTTCTACTTCCATTGCAGCCATTTCCCCACTGCATTCAGTCAGCTATTTCTCATTCCCTCATTAAACTTTAAGCTCCTTGAGAAGAGGGACCTACCTGTGCTCATTTTTCACTTCCCTACTCTTAAAGTAAATTTAGTTTAAAATTTAAAACAGAAGTGAAAAAAACTAAGAACTATAAGTCATGTCTTTTTTCTTATTTTCTTGGCTTTCTCACTCTCATTCTTTTCCTTCCCTAACATTTTAACTTATTATCTCCTCCCTGTCACCTTTTCTCCTCCCCTGCATCTAATACAGAAAACACTGCCACAGCACAGGCATGGGAGCTGGTTGAACCTGGGCCCCCCGATGCTCACAGGCCCCCCACTAACAGCAGAGTAGGAGCTCTGACAGCAGTACTTACGGGGCCCCTGGAGTCTAGCATCAATACACACCACCTCAAACTGCTTCTCATGTCAGACCTGCTTTCAACACACCATAATGTCATCTCAACACAGGGTTAAAAGTAACCCACAGTTTGCTGAGGTTCTGGGAAAGTGAACCTTCTTGCTTACTGTATCCTGAAGTTCTGTCCTTCTGTGGAACCTCGACCTGGATACTGGGCCAGTTGCAAGGCTAAAGTCTTGAGCCGTCTCTTGCATTTCAGAAAATCCTGGGTGTGGTAAAAGTCAGTGGAGGCTGAGAGGGGCAGTCCATCCCTCACCCTTATCACACAGGCAAAAAGGATCATGGACATGGTCCGCAAAAGAAGTCATGAGGACACCTAAGGAAAGCAAGGTCACCTTGTTACTGAGGCCCAGTGATGACACCAGAGCCAGTCTGCCCTCCAGACGTCCACTCTGGTTGTCTCACCCTCACCCCCAATATAAGTGCAAATGTCACTTTTATTATTTCCCTCCTCCTCCCAATTTTCCTCCCTTCTTTATCCTCTTTTCACTTGTAATCCTGCCTTTCCTTCTCTCTAATGAACCTCTCCTTTCCTAGAATTTAACTGGGATAAAGGAGAAGAGAGAAACAAGAAAGCGGGGCAAGAAGGGCTCAGGAGGAGTAGCAATGACAGTGAGGAGCAGGACACAGGTAGTAAGATGGCCTCAGGGGACAGGAAGCACCTGGCACTGGAAGCAGCAGGGATGGGGAATACTTAGCCATGGAGGCAGGTGACAAGCAATGTGATTGCCATCTCCTCACCTGCAGCACAAGGATTCTGAACCTCTAACCTAAAGCTGGAGGCAAGGAGAGCAGAAGGCAAAATTGGAACTGAGAGAATATAGTATGTTCTCTGGAATTTCTGCAAATGTTTGCTACAAGGACAGTCTTCAAAATGATGACTGAGTTCCTACAGATGACTAGAGGAAGTCATTTAGCAAATTATATTACAGTAAGGTACTAAATATTTGGCTATGATATGTGAGCACCATTAGGAAACAAAAGGGAATAGATTCTGATGCCTTCATCAAATTGCAACATGGTGCTGTTCAGGGTAGAAACAGCCCTGGACCAGTTCTGCTGGCAGAGACTGGCTGGGTTTTAGCCCCATTGTGCTGTCTCTGGCAGCTTGTACAGGTTATAACCCACACACACCTGCATGTGGCAGCCCTGCAAGCAGGCACTAGTGAGGTGGCTGCTACAGCTCTTAGGGGCTTTCCATGTGCCCACACCACTCACAGGTCCTCTACCTGCTAGGATCTCAATAAGCAAGTACAGTGGTGGGCTTTTCTTCCAAAGAACTCTAGAAATGTAACCATGTTTGTGTCTCAATTCCTGTGAGCTGCAGGAACAGGGAGCCCCAGGGAGCTACTCTCTTCACCTCTGTGCCTCTGTATATTCTTTGTCTATGTCTGCCACTCCTCTGATCTCCCCATATCCAAATCCACATCAAGAACTGCCTTAATCCACCCTTTCCATGAAACCTCCCCTGACTTGCCCAGCTGGAACTACTTCTACCTCCTCTAAATTTGCAGAGAATCTACTCTGTTTTTTATTTTACTGACTTACCATTTTCACTGCCTGTAAGTTATAAGAATAAAGACCATTATCTGGAATGGATAAGTAAATAATTAATTTTACACATAAAGAAACTGCAGTGGAGGGGGCTGGTGGCGCCGGGAGCAGTAAATGAGCTACACTGCAAAGAAGATCTCATACATACATACATATACATACACCCTGGGTCTCCAGGTGGCAACTGTGGCTGCATCCCCGGCAGCTGCTCCAGGCAAAGTGACAGGAAAAGACAGTTTCTCTATGATACAGAATCCTGAAATGTAATATATCTTAAAAATAAGTAGTACCTGCTAGATGGAATAAAATGATGTAGGTTGATAAGAAGTAGAGATTTTATTCAATTCTACCCTCTCTCTTCAATCTCACTTTCCAACCTAAAAGTACCCATCAATAGAAATTTGGTGTGTCTCCTGATAACAGTTCTGCTTTCAGACCAGTGAGAATACTGTGAACCACTTTTGCTGTCTTCTGGAGCAATTGCTGGTTTTGCTCTAATAAAAACAAAACAATAGGGGAGACAAGAAAAGATGGCGGCATGAGAAGTGAGGCTGAAACCTCCTCCCCAAACCACATATAATACAAAAATACAGCAAATGCAACTAATCCAAAAAGAGAAATTGGAAAGAAGACTGCGACAGACGGACTACACTGGGGAAAAGAGAAGACCCCCCACAGAAAATAATGAAGTAGAAAAGCTGCAAACTGGCAGGACCCAAGCCCACCTCCCACCCCAGCTCACCAGCAGGAGGAAGAGAAATGGAGCAAGGAGGGAGTAGAAGCCCAGGACTGCTAAACAGCCACCCCTGGAAATCTGCTCCGGGAGCATGAACCCACATTACATGCTGCTCTGGAGATAAGTGGAGTTGGAAAGCAAAGACAGGCAGAATACTCAGAAAGACTGAGATTCCAGCAGTTTGTGGAAAATAGGTACCCACAACTGGCCACTCCAGGACAAAAGAAAGGTGGGCACTTTTAAAGACTTCCTGATAGTGAGAGGGGTGCTAAAGGAGCAAGTATTACACAGTGCTTGAAGATCAAAAGAAAGGACAGGTGGGCAAAATCGTCCCTGCCCACTCAGCCCAGCAAGTTGGGAACGTTCAGGAGCTTCAGGTGCTCCATCCCACTGGCTGGAAAAGCAGTCCTGAGGCCCCCCACTGCAATATGCAGCCTGCCACCAGTTCATCCTGGCCAGCATCAGTTCATAAACCTGCTGCCTCCACCATCGTGCCAGGCCAGCCAGAGGGTGGATCCACCTACATTAGCTACACAGGCATAACACAGAGGCTTCTCCCTATGCACATGGCCTACTGGCCCGGGCTCTGGAGTCAGGCACTGCAGCTGGGAACCAGGAAAGAGCTCTTTCCACCCAGCAGGCACCGGTACCACTTGCCTGCGACCCCTACCATTGCTCCAGGTGCTGGGAAACTCCAGAGAATAGAATTTCTGTGCACTAGAGGGCATCATCTACAAAAACCCATTATTCCATAGTAATCATTAGAAATATGAAATGGCAAAAGTATCTTGTAAAAACCAAATCCCTCAAACACCAGAAAGGGGGCTACGTGAAACTGAAATAACCTACCTATCTTCTTGATAAAGATCTCAAAATAAAAATCATAAACATGCTCACAGAGCTACAGAAAATTATTCAAGAGCTCAGGGAGGGCTTAAAGAAAGAAATAGAAACTTTGAAAAATACAGTACCAGAAGTGAAACATACAATGAAGGAATTTAAAAGCAGAATAGATGACATAGAGGAGATGGTAAATGAAATAGAAATTAGAGAACAAGAACACAAAGAAGCTGAGGCACAGAGAGAAAAAGGATCTCTAGGAATTAAAAAATAATAAGACAACTAACTGTGCGAACAATCCAAATGGAACAATATTCATATTATAGAGTTCCAGAAGAAGAAGAGAGAAAAAGGGATAGAAAGTCCCTTTGAGGAATTAATTGCTGAAAAGTTACGCAATCTGCAGAAGGAAATCGTCTCTCAGGCCATGGAAGTGTACAGATTTCCCAACACAAGGGACCCTAGGAAGACAACACCAGTCATGTAATCATTAAAATGGCAAAAATCAAGGACGAGACAGAGTATTATAAGCAGTCAAAGAGAGAAAAAAGATCACCTAGAAAGGAAAACCCATCACGCTATTGTGAGACTTCTCAGCAGAAACCTTACAGGCCAGAAGAGAGTGGCATGATATATTTAATGCAATGAAACAGAAGGGCCACAAACTAAGAATACTATACGTGGAAAGATTATCATTTACATTTGAAGGAAGGATTAAGCAGTTTTCAGATAAGCAAAAGTTGAGGGAATTTACCTCCCCCAAACTGTCTCTACACTGTATTTTAAAGAGACTGGTATAGATGGAAATGCTCCTAAGGCTAAATAGCTGTCACCAGAGAAACTAAAACCATAGCAAAGTTAGTAAACCAATTAATTACTAAGACAATGCAAAAGTAAATCAAATACCTATAAAGTCAGTCAAGCGATACATAAAGAGTACAGAATATGATACCTAATATATGAAGAGTGGAGGAGGAAGAAAAAGAAGAAAAAAAACCCTTTAGATTGTGTTTGAAATAGCATAAGCGAGTTAAGTTAGAATGTCAGATAGTAAAAAAGCTACCATTAAACCTTAGATGGAAAGCACACATCTAAAGTCTGCAATGGCAATAAGTAAATATCTATTGATAATCACCCTAAATGTAAATGTACTGCATGCACCAATCAAAAGACACAGGGTTATAGAATGGATAAAAAAACAAGATCCATCTATATGCTGCCTACAAGAGACTCACTTCAAACCCAAAGACATACACAGATGAAAGTAAAGGGATGGAAAAAGATATTTCATGCAAATAATAGGGAGAAGAAAGCAGGAGTTGCAATACTTGTATCAGATAAAATACACTTCAAAACAAAGAAAGTAACAAGAAACAAAGAAGGACATTATAAAATGATACGAGGATCAGTCCAACAAGAAGATATAACCATTATAAATATCTATGCATCCAACACAGGAGCACCCAAATATGTGAAACAAGCACTAACAGAATTAAAGGGGGAAATAGAATCAATACACTCATTTTAGGAGACTTCAACACACCACTCACTCCAAAGGACAGATCAACCAGACAGAAAATAAGTAAGGACACAGAGGCACTGAACAACACACTAGAACAGATGGACCTAACAGACATCTACAGAACACTCTACCTAAAAGCAGCAGGATACACATTCTTCTCAAGGACATACGGAACATTTTCCAGAATATATCACATATGAGGCCACAAAAAGAGCCTCAGTAAATTCAGAAGGACTGAAATTGCACCACTCAGCTTCTCACACCACAAAGGTATGAAACTAGAAATAAATTATGCAAAGAAAATTAAAAATCCCACAAACACATGGAGGCTTAAAAACATGCTCCTAAATAATCAATGGATCAGTGACTAAACTAAAATGGAAATCAAGCAATACATGGAGACAAATGAAAACAAAAATACAACAATCCAATATTTGTGGGATGCCACTCTAAGAGGGAAGTACATAGCAATACAGGCCTACCTCAAGAAACAAAAACAATCCCAAATAAACCGCCTAAACTCACAATTAAAGAATGTAGAAAAAGAACAAAGGAAACCTGAAGTCAGTAAGGAGGGACATACTAAAGATCAGAGCAAAAATAAACAAAATAAAGAAAAGCAAAGTAATAGAAAAAAATGAAACTAAGAGCGGGTTCTTTTATAAAATAAATAAAACAGATAAACCCCTAGGCAGAGGACATATCAAGAAAAAAGAGAGAGTTCACAAATAAACAAAATCAGAAACAAAGAAGGAATAGTCACAACAGATAGCACATAAATACAAAGAATTTTTAGAGAATACTATGAAAAATTATATGTCAATAAACTGGATAATTTAGAAGAATGGACAAATTCCTAGAAAGGTACAACCTTCCAAAACTGACCCAGGAAGAAACAGAAAATGTGAACAGACTAATCATCAGCAATGAAATTGAACTGGTAATCAAAAAACTATCAAAAAACAAAATGTCAGGACCAGATGGATTCATAACTGAATTCTACCAAACATTTAAAGAGCTAATGCCCATCCTTCTTAAAGTATTCCTAAAAGTGGAAGAAGAGGGAATACTTCCAAATCCACTCTAATACCAAAACCAGACAAAGATATCACAAAAAAAGGAAATTACAGACTAGTACCCCAGATGAACATAGATGCAAAAATCCTCAACAAAATATTAGCAAACCAAGTTCAAAAATACACCAAAAGGATGATCCCTCATGACCAAGAGGGATTTATTCCAGGGATGCAAGGGTAGTATGATATTTGTAAATTAACAAATATCATATATCATATTAACAAAAGAATAAAAACCATATGATCATCTCAACAGAAGCTGAAAATGCATTTGACAAAATTCAACATCCATTCATGATAAAAACCCTTTAACAAAACAGGTATAGAAGGTATGTTCCTCAACATAATAAAGGTCATACATGACAAACCCACAGCTGACATCATACTTAATGGTGAAAAGCTGAAAGCTTTTCCTCTAAAATCAGGAACAAGGATGTGCACTCTCACCAGTTTTATTCAACACAGTACTGGCAGTCCTAGTCACAGCAATCAGACAACACAAAGAGATATAAGGCATCCAAATTCATAAGGGAGAGGTTATACTATCATTATTTACAGATGACATGATATTATTATACATAAAAACCCTAAAGAATCACCAAAAAACTACTAGAACTAATAACTGAATTCAGAAAGTTGTAGGACACAAAATTAGTACACATAAATCTGTTGCATTCCTATATACTAACAATGAACTAGCAGAAAGAAAAAGCAGGAAAACACATTTACAATTGCATCAAAAAGAATAAAATACCTAGGAATAAACCTAACCAAGGAAGTGAAAGACCTATACTCTGATAAGTAAGACACTCATAAGAGAAATTAAAAACACAAATAAGTGGAAATCTATCCTGTGCTGACAGACAGGAAGGACTAATATTGTCAAAATGACCATCCTGCCCCAAGCAATTTACAGATTTAATATAACCCCCATCAAAATACCAACATTCTTCAATGAACTAGAACAAATAGTTCTAACATTTGGAATATGGAACCACAAGAGACCCTGAATAGCCAAAGCAATCCTGAGAAAGAAGAACAAAGATAGGGGGATTATGCTCCCTGATTTCAAGCTATACTACAAAGCTACAGTAATCAAAACATATGGTACTAGCACAGGAACAGACCCATAGATCAATGGATAGAATAGGGATTCCAGATATAAACCCAATGCATATATGGGTAATTAATATATGATAAAGGAGTCATGAATATACAATGGGGAAAAGACAGCCTCTTCACTAACTGGTGTTGGCAAAACTGGACAGTTACATATAAGAGAATGAAACTAGATTACTATCTAACTCCACACACAAAAGT